ATGATTCTCTCTCTCATCATTGATGTTTCTATCTCTCTCTCCCTCTCCCTTCCTCTCTAAAATCAATAAAAATATATTATAAAAAATATGTATTTTTTAAAAATTTAAACATAGAAATATAGCTGTATTGAGGCCTGCGCAGGTCCCAACCTGTTGGTGGTTTGGGGTTGCTATCTGCCTCATAAAGCGAAGTAGAGGGTTTGTCATCTGGGAAGACAAAGCGGTCTTCTCCTTGGATAAAACCTCCTACATAGTTGGCTTTGAGACCTTCCAGAAACGGAAGGGCAGAGACCGAGGCCTCATGAGTCTGGGTTTTCAGTTGAGGTAGAAAGAGAAGACAGTGGTTATAAGAGAAAGTCCAGAGTGATGTGTAGTTACCTTAAGAACGTGTCACTGCCAGAACCGGTTTGGCCCAGTGGATAGAGCGTCGGCCTGCGGACTCAAGGGTCCCGGGTTCGATTCCGGTCAGGGGCATGTACCTTGGTTGCGGGCACATCCCCAGTGGGGGACGTGCAGGAGGCAGCTGATCAGTGTTTCTCACTCGTTGATGTTTCTGGCTCTCTATCCCTCTCCCTTCCTCTCTGTAAAAAATCAATAAAATATATTTAAAAAAAAAAAAAAAGAATGTGTCACTGTTAACATGACAGTCATAGATGTGGATTCCTCAACAATACAATAATAATAACAGTTTCCAAAGGTTACTTTCTTCTTTCCCTCTCTTTTTAAATGTGGCTTCAAAGAATTCTTAAGACGTGAACAATAGAAAGACATGTGAGCAGATCACAAAATGCATAGGTGTAAATTATTTTATTTTATTTTTTCTCATAATATTTAAAACTTCCTCGTATCTTTAAAATCTTAAGAGACCTGGGATTAACCCTAGGGATTTCTTCCTGATACTCTGGCCGCACCTCCCAACCCAATTCGGAAAACACCTGCTGGCACACGATGGCTTAGAATGGGCTGTAAGGGCCCATAGAGTGACTGCTCTGGGCGAGGCACAGAAGTCTTACGGGGATGGTAGAGGAGCTGTGTCCAAGGAGCCTGGTTTGGAGTTGACAAAAACGTTCAGGGCCTCTTTTTCAGTTCTGCTTTCACACGATCTCTGGACCCCTAGACAGATGGTTCTCAGCCTTGTCAGATCCAACACTCTCCTTTTCTATGTCAGTCTGTAACTCCCTCCTTCCCTATCCTGAAATGAATTCCATAGGTAATGTAAGTTACCTTTTAGCACATCTTAACTGTAACATAAAAGGGGAGAAATAAAAGGAAAGTATTTTGTTAAAACGATTTTTAAAATACAACCGAATGAACAAATCTGTGTGATGTTTTTATATGACTCTGTTGAATGGAAAAGAGGCAACACTTTGTCAGATAATAACAAAACCAGTTAAAAAGCAGCAGCAGCCACAGTGTCGTTGCACATAAATATAGATCTATAAATATAATATAAATACGGATTTCTATAGCCAGGTCCTGGGGGCAGTATGTATACTCCACAACCTACCTTTAAAAAAGAACAAAAAGCCAAAAGATATGTATGATGCTGATAATTTAAAATGCAGAGCCAAAGCTACTGAGCAGCAGTTGACACAGTTGCTGGTTTGTGTGTGAAGGACACTTTCCCTCCTCTTAACCCTCTTGTTGCTTAGAATGAGGAGACTCCATAATTTAAAACACAGCGAGAGGAGGAAATCTTCCTGAGTCAACATGACCCATTCCCCTCCTTTCTAAAGCTACTTTTGGCATCAGAAGTTGACTGGGGAGGGAGAATCAGAAAGTCCTGGTCAAAGCCCCTAGAACCACAGTGCTCAGAGTCGTTTTATTTGTCGCTGCAACCAATATACTAGTAAACTAGTGAAAGACCAGCAGTGAAGGTTAGTGTCTTAGTGAATGCATAGAGGCCAACACTGCTCTAAGTGAGACATGATAAAAAAAAGTGTGTCACTACTCTAAATCAAAAGGAAACAAAATTAAAAGTACCCTTTTTACTATAAACAACAACTAAGTACTCTACATATTCTTGGGATAATTAAAAATACATATCTGACGAGGCATTAGGATTTAGGATATCCTTTCTAACTATGCTTTATGTCCCAGGGCTATTTAAAAGGATTCCTGAATTTAACTGAAATTTTACTATGTAGTCCTTACTTACAGAAGAAGGCCAACCAAGCAATGGTAGATACAGAAAAACACTCTTTTACACATGGCAGCATTTTTCCTGGGGAAGCTGAACAGCTGGATGAAAGATTGGGAGAACAGGATAGTCAACTTTTAAAAAATATCACCCCAGCCTTGACCAGTGAGACTCAGTGGTTAAAGCTTTGGCCCTGGCACTGAAGGGTCACGGGTTTGATTCCCAGTCAAGGGCATGTACCTGGATTGCAGATTCCATCCCCAGCCCCAGTTGGGATGTGTGCTGAAGGCAGTCAATCAATGTGTCTCTCTCACATCAATATTTCTCGCTCTCTCTTTCTCTCATTGATGAGAATCATCAATTGGTGGCCTCCTGCACTCCGCCTACTGGGGATCTAGCCCACAACCCAGGCGTGTGCCCTGACTGGAAATCAAACCGGTGACCTCTTGGTGCAAGGGATGACACTCAACAAACAGCCATCCTGGCTGGGCCAATTTGTACTTTTTAATCCCTTCACCTTTTTTAGTCATTATCCCACCCCCTCCTAACTGGCAACCGTCAAAATGTTCTCTGTATCTATAAGTCTGTTTCTGATCTACTTGTTCATTTATTTTGTTTTTTAGATTTAATTGATAGATGCATATTTATTACCTTTTATTCATATTTTTTATCCTTTTTTTTTCTTCTTCTTAAAAAATAGTGTTTAACATATCATATAATACTGGTTTGGTAATAATGAACTCCTTTAGTTTTTTCTTATCTGGGAAGCTCTTTTTCTGTCCTTCAATTCAAAAAGCTAACATTGCTGAGGAGAGTAATCTTGGTTGTAGGTCCTTGCTTTTCCTCACTTTGAATATTGCCAATCTCTTTTGGCCTGCAAAGTTTCTGTGCAGAGATCAGCTGACAGTCTTATGGGAGCTCCCTTTTAGGTAACTAACTGTTTTTCTCTTGCTGCTTTTAAGATTCTCTCTTTGTCTTTAACCTTTTGCATTTTAATTATGATGTGTCTTGGTGTGGGCCTCTTTGAGTTCATCTAGTTTGGGATTCTCAGGGGCTCCTTTTATTAGGTAGACTTGCTACATCTCCCAGGCTTGATAGAGTGGTCTAATGTAGCCTAATGTGTCCAGTGGCACAGCCTCCATGATCACCCCTAAACACCCAGCCTTTAAAACCCCTGGAAAGGAAGGTCCTGACGTGCTCTCACCTGTAACACTCTCTGCTCTGTTTATTTATTGTTGTTGTGGTTTTGGGTTTTTTTTTTTAGAATAACTGCGCAAAGACTTGCCCACTTGAACAAGTGCTTGATGAACTTCAAGCTCGGGAATTTCAGCTATCAGAAAAACCCTCTGAAATTGGGAGAGCTCCAAGGGAATCACTTCACTGTTGTTCTCAGGTAAAGAACTGGGTCATAAAGGGTCTTGCCTGGTCACATCTGTACTCGGTGTGACCTCATAAGGAAAAAACAAAGCAGTTATTAATCTAGGTGAGCTGATACTAGCAGGCATGGCAGCAAGGGAAGGCAGAGTGGCCTCATAGGGTTGGGGGAGCAAATACGACTGGAGTATTTGTACTGGCACCCCTCTAAAAACTCAGTACCACCTTTGGAAAGACGCCATCTCCTTAAATACTGTGTTAAAAGACAAAGAATGCATTGTTCCACTTACGTGTGAGGCCTACAATAGGCAAATCCTAGACCCAGAAAGTAGAAGAGATGTTTCCTGGGCCGGGGGTGGAGGGGAGGGTGAACAGTTAGTGTTTAATGGGTGTAGAGTTTCGGTTTGGGAAGATGAAAAAGTTCCAAAAGTGGATACCATTGGAGGTTACACAAGATTGTGCATGTCCTTAATGCCACTATATTGCAAGCTTGAAAATGGCTAAAATGGTCAGTTTAATGTTACATCTCTTTTATCACAATTTTAAAAAAAGAAATATCAAAGTTGTCAGGAAGCAGAGAGAAAGCTGCAAGGAACATGGGGAAAGCATGGAAACCAACCCGTGTCATTTATGATGTGCATTCCTGAATGTGTTTGACTAAATTTTTTCCTCTGGATAATTTGGGCCCCTACAGAAATATAACAGGAACTGATGACCAAGTGGAACAAGCCATGAACTCTCTCAAGGAGATTGGTTTTATTAACTACTACGGAATGCAAAGATTTGGAACTACAGCCGTCCCCACATATCAAGTTGGAAGGTTTGTATTCAAGTTCTTTACTCTCATCTAAAAGAGCTCTCATAAAAAAAGAAGCAGGTGGTGGGGTTTTTAAAAAATACTTTATTGGCCGAAACCGGTTTGGCTCAGTGGATAGAGCGTCAGCCTGCGGACTGAAGGGTCCCAGGTTCGATTCCGGTCAAGGGCATGTACCTGGGTTGCGGGCACATCCCCAATAGGAGATGTGCAGGA